TTAAACTGTATAAAAAGTCCTTCTCCAGGATGTTACACATTTGAATTCTAGCCAATCATATAAATGTCCGGGATGCTATTAGCACCATATTTATATTTTGTGAAATTTTATTATGGTAAAATTAAAAACAAATTTGTCATTAAATTTATAAAATTGACGACCAACTGGTTTTTGTTTTACATTTTTTCTCAAAACTGTATTAAATAAATAATTGCAAATTTATATTATTTAAAAGCTCTATTTTTCAAGGAAGTCTTTTTATTAATGTTAAACATTAATTTTTTAAAATAAAGCTGACATTACATCATGAATTATTAATTTAATGATCATTTCTAAAAGAATGGAAGCAGATCACAATCATTACAAGTTTCAGGATGATAATGCTCCTGTCCATACTGCAAAGAATGTAAAAAATGAATGTCTGAGAAGAAGATTATTCTTCTTGAAGATTGGCCTTCTCATTCACCAGACCTTAACCCTATCAAGCATCTGTAAGATGAATTTGGTTGAAGATTAAAAAATCGTCTTGAACATCCAAAAAATTTAGGAGAATTGGAAATTTTTTAAAACAAGAATGGGAACAGATTCCACATGAAAAAATCTGAAGCTGGTTGATAGTATGCTTCAAAGGATAGAAGAATGTATTGCCAACAATGGTTGGCCAGATATTAAATATAAATTTAATGACAAATTTGTTGTTAATTTTACCACAATAAAGCTTTCACAGAATATAAATATAATGCTAATGACAAACATTCTTGAGAACTAGAGCTTTTAAATAATATATAAATCGCAACTATTTATTTTGAAGACAAATTTTTGTCCGGGGAGTGTATATACCAAAAATTGACACAGAATATTAAGTGCGATTTAAATTTCGATATTCCAATGACTTATATGTTTGTTAACCATAACCGTTGTCGAAGTGAGTACTAAAAATTGACACAGAATATTACGTACGATCTAAATTTCGGTATTCCGATTCGCTTGATTCTTCGGAACATGCAGTTATCATTGACGTGTGTATAAAATATCAATGCATGATGTTATTACGTGAAATCCATCGATACAAAAATACGCCGCAAAGTCGCTAGAACATCACGTATCGTGTTTGAGTAATTATAATTATTATCTAGTAGAAATGCAAGTGCATTGTTGACAATCCAGTTTAGATCCTTGAACAAACGCGAATGCTGGTGACAATGAATAGCAGGATAATAGGAATTCCATTGACGGTGTACATCGTAGACGGAGGTTTTATTGATTCCTATCAAATAAAATGCAACAGTTCGTTTAAAACCGGGCAAAATATAAGTTTCTTCCTACGATGCACAATTTCTTCGTTGCAACTAAACGCTGGCCATGGCTATACTAGTATTAATAGCAACTTTCGTAGTAATGAGTGTTTCTTATCCCAATGGATCAGCATTTTCACTTCTGCTACTACCGCCTATTTCATTACAAACGCAAAAAGCAAGTCGGGAGGTAAAATTTTTGTCATCAGGTGTTTGATTGTGACATTCTATACAGAAAAATTCAACCCCCTATATTAATACGTGGTACATTCAAAACAAAGCTTGTTCTTCCTGAACACAAGCCAACCCCACACAATTCAAGAATGTTTGTGTTGTTTGTGTACTTGTACGACTATTTATTGTTCAGGTTTTAACTTGTTTCTCGGTGATGGAACTTTCCGCCAATTTTATTGTTTTGAACACAAGAAAACAAAACAGATGAGCACCTTTGGGTTCTCTCTCAGGTATATGATACTTATTCCAAGTTCTTTTTCATTTCAATGACATTGTCAATGATAATAAACAAAAGTAACAAATGCTTACAGTTAAAATCGCCCGGTTAGATATTAGTATTACTGAAGGTATTGACAGTACAAATACAACATACATGTTTCACTCACTTGAATGTTTGTCACAAACTTTCCTTTATAAGGTCAACCCGACTTCCCGTGTACCACGTTGCCGCTCTGCAATCATCTTCTATCCGTATCACAGTACACCTCTCCAGGTTTATAAAATAGACCTGCTCATCCATGTTATCACTAGTAGAGCATCTAATTGTTCTAACGACTCCTCCCAGATATCATAAACCATTTCTTCAGCCATGATCAAGTTCCTCTTTTTAGTTACGTTGTTGTTGGCAACAGTCGTTGCTTTTCCATCTTACGGTGGCAGCGACGATAACACTGTCGCGCCTTTGTTGTCTTATCCTAATGCTGAGTATATCCCCGGCGAATACATCGTAGTATTCAAGGGTGTGGTCACTGACGAAAGAATATCTTGTCATCATAACGATGTTAATTCCTTGCTCTACGAGGAAAGAAGGGTGCTCAAACGAGGATTCATGGATGAATTAATTTCTGGTATTAGACACACTTATGACTTTGAGGGTTTCCGAGGTTATTCTGGTAGATTCTCAGAAAGCGTTTTGGCTAAGATCAGACAGAGCGATGATGTAAGTATCAAGTATGGCAATTTTATAGTGCGCAGTTTAGAGTCGATGCTATACAGACCTTATTTAGACGTGTATATAGAATGTGATGCCGATCCCTATTTTCCAAAGTACCACGCGAGCGACTAATCGACTAATCACTTCCCCAAAAACCCAACTTTTTTTCTACCATTCAGGTCGCATTTGTTGAGCCAAATCAAAGAATATATCCACGCATAGTTCAACCTGATTCTCCATGGGGTCTTGCTCGCATATCTCATCGTGAACGTTTGGTAGGATCAACAATAGCTACATACCAATATGATGCAAGCGCTGGAAAAGGGGTTACTGCCTACGTAGTCGATACTGGAGTCAACATCAACCACACTGACTTTGGTGGACGCGCTCGATGGGGGGCCAACTTTTCACCTGGTCAGCCTGATCAAGATCTTGGTGGACATGGAACTCATGTTGCGGGTACCATTGCCGGAACTAAATACGGTGTCGCCAAAAACGCTCAGATTGTTGCTGTCAAGGTTTTGGGTCCACAAGGAGGTTCAAACGCAGATGTTATCAAGGGAGTAGAGTGGGTCGTAGCTGATCACAAGAGAGCCGTTGAGGATGCTAGAAGAGCAGGAAGAGTATATCCAGGCTCAGTCATTAATATGAGTTTGGGAGGTGGTAAGAGTACCGCTTTGGATGGGGCTGTTGAAAATGTAGGTATCACATCGATAAAGGTAAAAAAAAGCTTGACACACTAATAATTGTATGTCTGAAATTCCATTAAAGGCTGTCACGGCTGGAGTAGTCGTTGTCGTAGCCGCGGGTAATGAGAATGCTGATGCGTGCAACGGATCACCTTCTGGAGCCGACAAGGTAATAACAGTTGGCGCCTCAACGATTGAAGATACGCGTGCTTGGTTCTCCAATTGGGGTAGATGTGTCGAACTTTTCGCTCCTGTAAGTATATAACTGTCCTTCTCCATTACTGATTGTTTATAGCACCCTACGAATTAATCGATAATTAATATACAACACATAATCGTAATTACAGGGCAGAGATATTACATCAGCCTGGATTGGCTCTAACACTGCTACAAACAAAATCTCCGGCACTTCTATGGCATCTCCTCATGTAGCTGGTCTTGCAGCTTATTACCTTGGTTTGAGCCCCAAAACTCCGTTAACACCACAACAAGTTCTTACCAAGATTCTCAATACGGCTACACGTAATGCTCTCTGTGAAGTCGCAAATAGTCCCAATCTCTTGGCGTACAATGGTTTTGTTTAATCCATGTATAGTGGAATTAAGGATGTTTTGTGTATAAAGTGATGTTTTATGTATTCATGCGGGTTGATCTTTATGATAATAAAGATATGATTTATACTAATACGTACTCGTGTGTGTGAACTGAAGCGTCATTTTCTATGACATCCCTGCATATTTCTGTATAAAGCCCTAAATCTTGTCGCGCACGCGGATGTTTGTTGACAGTTTTGTCAATAACTTGCATTATATGATAGTTTATGTGGTAATAGTGATATTTTTTTACGGCAATAACATGATTAAAAAACCTACCACGTCCACCCCGACTGGGTGCGCGGATCAACTTGGTCTGTAATAAAAAAAATTGTTAAACGCAGTCGTTTGGCATCGGTTAATTTACCGTATTAGTATAGCGATAGTAAATTTTCGTGATTTTGGCACTTTCCTGGTAATTTTTGTGGAGATTATATACGACCGTTTTATATACCGTTATGTATACTGCAGAACGGTATACCATAACGAATGGCCTCCCCCACCAACTTCAGTTATTTTTTAAATATTAGGTGAAAACCACTTTGTTATTGATGCCAATTATAACAACGTTCTTAATTTTGCAACGCATTGGAATTAGAATTTACTTTTTTTATATATATTGAAATGTATCATAACAATTGATATAATAAGCAATTTAAATTTTCTTTAACCATAACGCGCGAAAACAGACAGATTGCAACTGTAAACATGAAGATAGTAATAAGTAAATAATTTAATGACATATGGGTAATACAATAAACAAGTACAATGATTTAACTATGTACAATATGCTACTTTCACCCTTTTCTTTTAACAACCTCCCGTGCAATTTCGGTGATTTCAATCGGCATTCGTGGCAGTGTAAAACATATTTACAAAAAATTGTAGTGTGTCAGCTAGTAATATAATATTAATATAACTAACGGTTTGTGTTACCGAAAAAGTTAAAATTGTTTAAAACCCAATTCCACATAATAAATATACACACATTTACATTCATTTGAAAGCGCATACAAACTGCTATCGAATACCGGATAGCTTTCTTTGTTGTTGAGAAACTAGAGCCCAAGTTTATCTATGGAAGTTTACTCGTGATGCCGATAAAACCTTTATAACCGATACACGCATTATTACATAGTATAAGACTTTATAGTATTTACTATTATTCACCCCTGTGACATCAGGAATTTGTATGTCTATGATCAATTTTTCCATTTAGTCATAAGACGAAGAATTTGTGATAAATACTAAGATAGAGTTATGAAGCATACTAATAGTTGATTGTAAGTTATGAACAGTATAGTATATTGATGTATGTATTGGTCTTATGCGGAAGCAAGTTTGATGTTAAATTTAGAGGGTTGCGAGATGATTGATACTTTTGAGTCGACTTTCGCTTTCCTAGTTCTTACGCGCAAAAATTTTTTTTCCGTCACTTTATGTCAAATTCTGCAAACGTATCATTATCTGTTCATGAGAATGGAAACTCTTTGTAATATAGACTCAGTGAACGAAATTGCCCAAGCATTAATAAAAAATGTTGACATAGACGCTATTTTTCTTATGGAAAGTCTTCCTCAAACACGTAATGACAACGAACGATTGCCATTTGTTAAAGTATTGAATAAGTATATCTTTTGAAATTACACGAAAAATTTAACTCAACGAATGTATGTGAGTCTACCATGAGTTTACGTGTAAAGTTCATGTAGATAAGAGAGTAACACGACTTACTTATTACTGCTTGTTTTAACATTAGTTCGGGTTAAATAGATCGCCTGCTTTTGGTATAATATATATAATATTGCAAATGCATATCGTTTTTCTTCCATATGCTTGCGTGCTACGCACTTCAAATATCATCGGAGTTAGCAACGAATAGTAATAAAAGGGTCGTAGAGTGAGTCGCTTTCAAAAAGAAATAGGGTTCTGGATTGGATAAAATCAATCAATGACATAGATTCATGAGCTAACGTTGCTGTATTGACAATGTTTTATAGTCCCAAGTTTAGCATTGTCAAATTGCATACTATACAAACACGTCTAGTAATTATTTTAACTTTATCTCTCGTGTCAAACACCATTACATTCCCAGAAAATTAGTTGTTGCATGTATCATTTGCACCATTGACGCAGCGTCGCAATTATCATAATCCAGGAATATTAGACATTCATGTCAGACTGAATAAACAATGTGTATTCAGCAAATACTTAAAGCAAATACCGACTGCTTTTATTGTTCATACTTGCTATTCAATAAATTTTCTTGTTCGGTGTTATTGATATTATTGATGCACAATATGAAGTGATATAATCAAATATGTTGATAATCGCATCACGTAAACAATTCGGAATTCGGAAACGGGTCAGAACAACATACCTGTTCTATATACTCATCTAAGAAAGTTATAGTTAATCTATAATCGAGATGTACAGTACATAGGTAGGCATTCTCGATAAGTCGAACCCTCGATAAGCCGGACCCTCGATAAGCCGGATTTGGCTTAACTCGGACAAAATTTCTCTGGACTATTTAAAAAAATTCGAAGTCGGACACACATATAAAATCGCGATGTAAATTTCCTTAAACTGTTAGAGCCGAACGAACTTCCTGATCACTTTTGGAAGTCTACACAATGCAGTCTGATGCTACAGAATATGGTCGAAATTTGATGGAGTCATACAGTCATCAGAATTCTGCCCGAAAGAGCAGCACCATCAAGCCATTTGGCAGATAATGGAGAAACACCTTCATCAACATGAAGCTGCCATCAATGACACGGGTACAATTTCGGACTCGATTAAGCTGCGATTTGTTTCTGAAATCTTAATGCTTATAGACGGTGTCTTTACTGAAATTAGTATTGCACGCAACGCAACCATGTTAACCTCATATCAAATGCGTTTCCATCTATTACTCAATCCTCGTCATAGAAACGGCCAGCTTGGAACAAATGCGCAGGCGTGCACGTTAAACTTCTGCCTCCAGGAATTTTTTTACCTCCAAAAACATCGACCTTACCAAGACGAACGCGATCGTCTTGAAAATCATTGTCTATGTGTATCAAAAAGGCTCATTAAACAACACATTGGCAAAAGAAGAGAAAAAGCCAATTTTTATTAAATAAGCATTCATGTCAACCAAATTTATAACGTCTTAGACGGAAATTATACCAAATGTCACTTATAACCCTATTATCCGTTGTCGTGTGTGTAATTATTATGAAGTATCTACATGACGAAGGATACGGTTAATATTTCTATAAAAATTCCTTGAGTGATAATATTATAATAAGTACAAACCCTTTTTTCATTAAGCAATTATTTTCGGGGACATGAAAATAGGACCTTTATATAACAATGCACACAAGACTATTACATGATAAGGTTTTCCTCCCTTTTATCTTTCGAGATTCGATTTGCAAATAAAAACCCTTACTATTATGTATATTATTATCTGAATTTTTATTAGTTACCAGATTTTATGTCATGCTCCATTAATAACCGTCCTATTTAATTTTTTTTAATAAAAATTAAATCCTCTAATCGTAATATCTTGGTTCGTCGAATACGTGATAATGATGACCACGAACACCCTTTCCTTTAAACTGAGGCGGAAATCTCAAACCCGGCGAAACTTTATCCTCAGTCACTCGTTTGTAGCTTGCAGCCCATGTGGAATTATCATACGCATCCAGCACCTGGAACTTACCGATCTGAATTTCAGTATCGGTTATGTCACCATGACTTACTCGCGCATAGCCAGTCCTCTTAAGCCCACGGTAAGCGACGTACTCGCACCATCTATCGTCATCAGTATTGTCAATATCGTTTACATTCCCACCATTCATCAAGATGAGATAATTCCCCTTTAGCGGTTTAGTGACAACGTATCCCAAAAACACGAATGGGTTTGTACTCTCTCTCATAATTCTTGCAAGTTCCTTGGTTTGCAACTCGCGATCGAGAACATCTTCTTCTTGGCCATTATGGCTCACAATTACGTCTACCTCCTTACCGTATACGTCAAGAGTAGCATGAATTGCACATGCAAGTTCGCCTACGGGTGAAGGAAGTAGGTGATGGGTGGAGCGTAAGATGGGAAATTTGGAAAGCATGCTACAGCCCCAAGTGTGTTTAGATGGACCAGGACCGTAATCTGCATACATGTCAAGTTCCTCACCGAGGAATTGAGTAAGATCACGGTTTCCCATTATTGTCCAACTAAGATCAGATTCGAGCAGGCCTATATGAAGGAATAATTGGCGTAAGTTGTGTGTACGAAATAGATTTATGATCATGCAATTCACCGTATGGATTAATATTGCTTACCAATAACATCCAATTCCAATTCTTTTATAGCATCTCTTATCCTTACTTCACTTGCCCACATATCGTTATCCAAAGCAAAATGTATCGTCCATATTCCGGCTGTCAACAACTTGTCTTCAGGATGATAAGGCACCGGTGCACGAGGCATGCGCACAAGCATTATTAATGTCGACAATACAATCAACACACCCAAAAAAAGCTTTGTGTAATATCGCGAATATCTCGTTACGTTGACATGAGCATGTTTGAACGAATAGCTTCTTCCGGCAGCATGTACTCCCAAGCCAATCAGCCCCATCATCATCATTAGCACGTAATCTGTATGTTCTCTTAGATATTCACCCGCAGGCACAAATGCATAAGCAACAGTCCAAATATTTGCAAGACAGAGAATAGTATAAATCACCATTGCCGTTAAAAATGTCTTTCCAGGAGGAGAGTAGGCTACCGAACGGATGAATGAAGGCGCAACAGACACTAGATAGACAGCAAGTACAAATCCACCATAGTATCCTTTCCATCCGGGGAAATAATACATGCATCCGCAAGCGACACATGCAACGGCGTACCAAGGCAGTCCCGTGACGAATTTACGACTAGTTGACAAAACGACACCAATAGACATTGCTACAATAGTCAATGCACCCCATGGCACTGGCATTGGTCCGGTATCAGGATAACCTTTGTAAACCCATCGAGTAATAGTCGATGTATCTGAAAGCAGACAATGAAAAGCGAAAAGCAAAGTTCCAAACCCAGCAGCCGAAGCAAACCATTTATCAGATCTGATTATCTTTTCTGTTGGTGGTGGTGTTTTATTGTGTCTTCGTATCGCTTCTATAGACGCAAGAATGGCGAGAAATAGTCCTGTTCCATTGGCGCCACCATTCTCTGGGTGCATAATAGGCCATATAGGGTTGCGTGCCCACCATGCCATTTTGACAACGTTGCTGAGGATTAGGCCAAGTAACCATACAAGTGATTCTCTTTCTAGTCGTCCGGGGTCGTCTGTGTTTTCTACCCATTTCGATGTCCACACCAGAACGTTAAGTGCCAATCCGAATGTTACTGTCAATAGACGAGAGACGGGATCTTTTACCAAATAGGCAGCTATCCCCACGAGGGATGCAAGTTGAATGTAACCTTTGTAGGATCGAACGGCGTTGCGGACGGGGCGGATTCCGAGTAATCCTGCTGTACAGGTTACTAATATTGCTACTTCATATCCAGAGAGGCCCATGTGCCAGAGGGGAAAATACCATATAGTTACTGCTAGCGATGTGAGCATTGACCAGTGAACGAATGCTAAAAAAAGCGAATGAAAGGGATAGATGATTGGTGACAGGTAGTTGGCACATTACGAGTATCCGTTGATGTACATTGAGAGAGTGACGTACCGAGATAAACATCAACGACAAACTCTCTTAGATTATTCAAATCTCCAACTTTCAACAAGGCTTCAATGTTTGTTTTGCCGTCCCTATTCGAAATAGTTATCAATCATGTCTTGAATCTTGGTTGATATTCAGCTACAATACGTCCCGTTCTTTTACTTACGTTGCCTTTTCGGCAATGGATGAGGTTGCAACAACTTTTCTGCTAAAGAATACGTAATTTATGAGAGCCATTTTATAAGAAAGTTGAAGAAGTGTTGTTTTTTATTGCAATGAAATTATACATATCCATACCTAGACTGGCGATTGACATCAATTACAGCTAACTCAAGCGTATTGAAATCATATAAACTAATTGCGTCGAATATGACGTCGTAGATTATCAGCCCCCATTCAAATAATGCATATTTTGTGTAAGCTATATAGATAAAGAGTTAAAAAACAGTTGCCAAGAAAAGAGGCAGAGTGGGTTAGTGAGTGAGCACAAAAATTTGAATACATATTCAAAACGCGAATATTCTCAGCATCGCATATGTATAATATGCGTGCTTTTCGTATTTATTGTCAAAAGTAGTTATCACTTACCCCCAGCAATTTGGTTGGCCTTGTGTTGATAAAACTGGTGGGCCATCGGAAACAGTGATCCAAAGAACACGCATGCAACTATTTTCCTCCACTTTCCCGTTTTCGGGTTTTGTGACAATGCTAATGCGCCCAACATCCACGGTATGGTAAGCACGAGATATGATACCATGGCAATGTCGTGAGTGCCGTGATCTTCGGATGAAGTTATATATACCCATCCACCACAGGATAAGGTACGCAGCAGTCCAACTACCGCATGAACTTTTGGAAACACACCATTCGAATTACTACTAGAATGCAAGTAAAATAGATATAGTAACAGGAAACGAGGGCCTACAAGAAAAAGGAAAAAAAAAGTAAGTACGACAACGTTGCTTATATATATATATATCAAATGTTGTTATGCCTACCGGAATTAATTGCCATGAATATCTGAAATATTGGACGGGCAGGATATCGATCACCAGTCGTGGCACTGACACTCGGAAACCATTCCTACGAAAAGAAATCAAACTGTACATAAAACGTAAACAAAATATAAAAAGAATGAATAGCTGGGTTTCCCGAATACCTGCGGATATCCCCAATATTGGTTCTTCACAATTGCACGATAATCCGTCCAACATGCAACAACGAGCGCAGAAAAGAATGCCACTATCAATAAACTCAATCATATAAGCAATCGCGCGAATCTAGATTTAATCATTCCTTTGATACAGATATGACGTTGATTGCTCACCAAATGCAAACAGTGTATGCACCTGAGGAACCCAAGCCCCATTAAGCTGGAATAACACGGAAATTTGTTAGCACATGTATGCTGTGCGTTAAAGACACCAGCCGACTTGAAAGCCAAAACAGCGCCAATTCAATGCATTCACCAACACATTCCACACAACACACACACATACCCTTGCAACAACTACACCACCCGGTGACTCTTTGGAAGCTGCCATTATTTGCTATAATTAGAACTAACAACCACAACCAGTTGAAGTCTAATTCCGTTATTCCCGCAGCGATTTCAAGGTAGTAACTGAAGACACTTTTCGTAACAGAAGCAGTAGTCGGACACTACGAAAATGCCAAGTAGCAATACGGAATAAGAAAATGTATGCACTCGATCAGGTAACCCCTGAAATTTTGTCCGATAATTTTGTAACACGATATGGTCCGGTGCAAAAAGATAGATACCTCAGATTATTGCAAATAAATTTTTTAAGAAAAATTTTTTCTAAAATCT